TCCCGGTTCCCGGTTCCCGGTTCCCGGTTCCCGGTTCCCGGCTCCCGGTTCCCAGTTCCCGGTTTCCAATTCCCGGTTCCCGGTTCCCGGTTCCCGGTTCCCGGTTCCCGGTTCCCGGTTCCCGGCTCCCGGTTCCCAGTTCCCGGTTCCCGGTTCCCGTTTCCCGGTTCCCGGGTTCCCGGTTCCCGGTTCCCGGCTCCCGGTTCCCGGGTCCCGGTTCCCCGGTTCCCGGGTCCCGGTTCCCGGTTCCCGGTTACCCGGTTCCTGGTTCCCGTCTCCTGGCTCCCGGTTCCCGGTTCCCGGTTCCCGCCGGGAACCGGGACCCGGCGGGTCCCTGGCTCCAGGCTCCGGGCTCTGGGCTCCCGGCTCCTGGCCTCCGGCCGGGTCTCGGTTCCCGGTTCCCGGTTCCCTGCTTCCAGCTCCCAGTTCCTGGCTCCGGGTTCCTGGTTCCTGGGTCCCGGGTCCTGTGGGTCCTCGCGGTCCCATCGATAGCTGCCAGAGCCCGGTTCCTGGTCCCCACATCCCGGTTCCCGGTTCCCGGCTGTGGGCTCCCGGCTCCCGGTTCCCGGTTTCCGGTTGCCGGCTCCGGGCTCCCGATCCCGCTTCCCAGAGCCTTCCCGGTTCCCAGTTCCCGGCTCCCGGTGCCTTCTTGACTGCGAGCCCACTGGGGTCTTATGGGCTCAAGAAGAGAGCATCGGAGTCCCATGGAGACCAATGGAGTGCGCTAGTCAACTACTGACTGACGTGCGAGGCACGTGGGAGCCCTCACGGGCGGGTCGGGCGGGCGACACCCTAGCGGGCGGGTCGGGTCGGGTCGGGCGGGCGCGGGACATTAAAGTACGGTGCACCATCTGCTTTGCACGCGATCACCTTGACGAACGGCTCGGGCCGAGCGGGGGGACCCAGGTCGCGCGGGCGGGGCATGAAAGTACGGTGCATCATGTGCTTGGCACGCGAGAACCCAAGCGGGCGGGGCGGGGCGGGCGGGCGTGACAATAAAAGATGGTGCGTCATCAATCGGGCACGCGAGAACCCTGACGGGCCGATTGGATCGGGCGGGACATAGAAATCTGGTGCATCGTTTAGCTGGCACGCGAGTGCCTTACAGGCGTGCCCCCCTGGATGCCCCCCCCGATGGCCCCACCCGTATCCTGTCGGGAAGGAGCGAGAGGAGGACGAACACCAGGACCACCAAGAGCGGGGGCGACGACGAGGAGGGAGAAGAAAAAGGACGACGTGAGGCATTTCCGGCCGCCGCCGGCCGCCAGCCGGAACGTTGGAGCCCTCGCCATGAGTAGGACCTATGCAGCTTTGAAAACTACACGGCCGACGGAGGGCCACACCCTCTCACCTCCTCCTCCTCCTCCTTCTCGTCCTCCTCCTCCTCCTCCTCCTCGTCGTCCTCCTCCTCCTCCTCATTCTGTCCTCCTCCCTCCTCTTTTCGTCCTCGTCGGGCTTGGGGGGGGGCGGCTAAAAGGCCCCCGCTTCCCGAGGCTCCCCGAGCTTCCTCACGCCTCCCTGGCGCTCAAAGCCGCCCAGATGGCCAAGATGGCCCAAGATGTCTCCAAGACGGCGCAAGAGAGATCCAAAATGGCCCAAGATGGCCTCAGGACCGACGAAAAAGCCTCCAAGACGGCCCAAGAGGGCTCCGAGGGAGGGAGCCCCCAGGAAGGCCCGAAGACGGCAAAATCATGGTCATTGTTTTTTTTCTAGCTTTCGAAACATCTTCGCATTACCGCCGTTTCTAGCTTTCGTCAGCCCAAAACGGCCCAAGAGGGCTCGAAGATGGCCGCACGACGGCCCAAGAGAGCCTCAAGAAAACCCAAAGACAGCCTCAAGACAGCGCAAGAGGGCCCCTGGAAAGCCCAGGACGGACCCACGAGGGCCTCAAGCTGGCCACAAGGCCTCCGGAAGAACCCAAGACGGCCCAAGAAGAACCGACCGACCAAGACAGTTCCACGACGGCCCCAAAAGAACCCCCAGACGGCCACTCAGGCCCCAAGAGAGCCCCAGGACGGCACAAGGGGGCCTTAAGACAGCCAAGTAAGGCCCCAAGGGACACCAAAGACTACTCCTGAGGAGCCCAGGACAGACCAATGATGGACCAAATGAGGTCCATGTGGCCTCTGCAAATGTGTATGCGAAAGGTGTCACATGTGACGGCCATCCTTTTCGTTGTCGTCTTCCTCCTCTTGATATTTCTCTTCCGATGCGGGCCGATGCTGCGAACGCACAGAACAAGCGGTTGGGCGAAACGCAGAGCGAACAGCTACACATGGGTGGCAATCTCGAAACTGTTGGGGCGGATCTAAAAAACGACGTGAGCTGAAGGCATTCAGGTGACGCAGCGCGGGCATGAACCTTCACGCAAAACGGCCGTCGTTCGTACATTGAAATATATCGTTCGCGACATGCGAACCTTCGTAACGCTGGGTTACGGGCAAAATACAAATCTCCACTCACGACGTGCGAGTCTTCGCCATGACACAGTGGCTGTCTAATGTAAAATCGGTTCGTCAACGTCTAAGCGCGGACTGGCTGAACAGCACATGCAAAAGGCGGTTTGCCGCATGGCGCAGCATCCACCGATGCACGGCTTCAGTTGACGCAGTTGTTTATTCCCTACGCATGCTCTGCCTAGAAGGGTTCTTACTTTCTTAGCTTAAAGGAACCGGGCAGTGGAAACCGCCCCGGGCGGTTCCCCCAGCCCCCTGGGAGCCAAGCAAAAGCAATAGCAAAGGTAAAAGCAAACGCGCGGCTCCCCCAGTGGCGCTCCCTGGGCGCCAAGCAAAAGCAAAAGCAAAGGCAAAAGTGAAGGCAAAAGCGAAGGCAAAAAAAAACATAGCATTGCATAGCATAGCACAACGCAGCATAGCAAAGCGCAGCACAGCATAGCATAGCGCAGCATAGCCTAGGCATAACATGGCATAGCATAAAAGAGTATATCATCGTATAGCATAGCATAGCATACCTAGAGGCTCAAACTCCCAGGTAGGGTCGCACTGGGATAATTTGCCACGACGCACTGGGTAAGAAACCGATGTGCAACATCTTCTGTAGTAGGGCTGTATAACCGATAACGGCGACAGCTCTGGTCCACCCGGTCCCTCGGCGGCGCGCTGGCCCGGCCGCCCTTCTACCGAACGTCGCCAAGCGCGCTGTGAAACGCCTTCAGGGGGGGGCCTCACTGGGCCCAGCGGCACGCTCCAACGGCTCATCGCCGCGGCGGACGCAGACCCCCGGTCGCCGGCGCGGGAGCGCACGGCGCCGCCAGGCGCATCGCCGCGGCTGCTGGGGCCTGCCGCTGCCGGGCCAGCGCGCCCCGCAGCCGCGCTGCGACGAGAGGGCTGCTGCGCGGGCTGACTGCGGCGAGGGGGTTGCTGCGCGGTCTGCTGCGCTGGCTGCTCCGCTGGCGTCTGGGCCTCGCGCGCAGCCTGGCCGGGTGCCGGGCGCGCAGAGCGGCCGCTCCACTTTGCCCTGCGGGCGGCCAGGTCCCGCAAGGCCACGCGGCAGCACCGCATCAGTTCGCTGTGGAACAAAACTTTTCCCTGCTGGGACTCTGGCCACGCCCGGAACTCCACCTCGTTCATGGCGTCGTCCAGGAAGCCGCCCAGGCGAGGGAACTGCGCAAATGCGGCCTGGAGCACGTCGCGGGCCTCATCTCGCGAAGGGCGCACGCGCTTCTTGCGCTTGCGGGCAGCGTTCCCCGCGCCCTCGCCCGGGTCGCAACTGGCCACGGAATAGTTGTCCACCAGGCTTCCCAACTTGGCCCGAGCGGCGCCAGAAAGCAAGCACTGGCGGACGAAGGCCCTGTCCAAGAAGGGAGTCGTCGCGCCCGGGTCAACGGAAAATATCATGTTACCGTTGGGGCCCAGCCCCACTTTGTCGAAGTTCGCTTCCGTTTCCACGTCCCCCCAGCAGAGCGGGGCCGCGAGCGGCGAAGGCGCCGCCTCCTCTCCGGCGCCTGGCGCGGGGGCGCTGGCAGCGGCCGCCGGCGGGGAGGCAGCGGCCGCCAGAGGGGGCGCCTGGTGCTGCTGCTGAGGCGGCTGCCCCTCGCCCTCGGCGCGGGCTCTCGCGAGGTCGGCGAGGGCTGCCTCCTCCTCCTCCTCCTCCGGCCTCGGCGAGCGCGGGCTCTCCGCAGGCTGCGAGCCCTCGCTTCCAGCGCGCCCCGGCGGCGCGCCGCGGGGGGCCCCCCCGGCGCCGTCGCCGCGCGAAGCCAATCCTGCCCCATCCCCTTCGTCGTCTGCCGGGGAGAGGGGGTCGGCGGGGCCGCCGCCGCCGCCGCCCGCGAGCTCGGGCGCGGGGAATGGCGGGAGCTGCGTCGGCAGCGCAGGCGCATACAGGCCCGGCTGGCAGTCGCCGCGGATAGCATCCGCGAGGCCGAAACCGGGCGCGGCCAAGTCATCATCCTCAACGGGGGGCACCGCGCGCCAGGCCTCCCGAATGAGGAGGCTTGTGTTCACCAAGCGCCACGCCGTCTCCACGTGGTCCTCCGTGATCAGCACGACGTCGTGGCCCTCGGGCAGAGGGGCGCCCCCGCCGTACTCCAGGACAGCCAGGGGCCCCGCGAAAATGCCCACGTGCTCCGCGGCTTTTGAATGGAGGGCGGCAGTGGGGACGTCATCCTCGCACATGTCAGCCCGATTGCTCTGCGCCACCTGGTTGCCCAGGAGGATCTTCTTGGCGCGGCCCTCGAACTCGAGCACGGCGTGCGGCTTATCCTTGAATAGTTCAGCAATGCGCCGAGCCGCCGCCCTGATGCGGTCCGTGGGGCCAGGCAGATTCCAACGCGAGGAGATGCGGTACTCGGTGGCGACGAGCCCGCCGTCTGGACGGCACACGTACCGCAATCGACTCTGGTGGCCGTCAGGGAACGAGACGACGCAGCCGCCGGGGGGGCCCTGGATGACGAGGCCGCCCTCGCACGGCGCAGGCTGAGAGCGATCGTCGACCTGAAGCCCAGCGCGAATCGCCGCTGCGGGGTCGTCCTTAAAGCGACCCTACCCGTAGACCGCGGCTTGCTGGGCCGTGAGAGGCAGCCACGCCCACCCATCATCACCGGCTTCGAGCTCGCAGTCCTCGGGCAAAGGCGCGTGTCGAGGCACCGCGCGGTCGAGGCAGAGCACGAATCGCTCTTTCGTGGCCGCCGTGTGGGAGCCCAAACAACCGCGGTCCATGGGAATGGCCTTGTCGGGGTGGGCGTTGCCGAGAATGGAGATGGACACGGTCTTGCCCCTCGACATGCCGAAATTGGTGCTTGTGCGCGTCGCCCTCCTGGTTTTGCCAGACTGCAACAGCGAATTCAGCAACGACGCGTTCAAGGAGGGCGTCTTGTCCTTGTCTTTGGTCGCATTACCGAGGAGGCCCAAACCGTCGAAGAACTCGTACGCCTCGTCCAGGTTGAAGCCGTTGCCGAACCAGACCCTGGCCGGGATGCCTGGGTCAGTCTTCTTATCCCCAACCTTGCACTCGACCTGCTTGCACGCAGCAGAACACCTGAAGAAAAACTCCGGGAATGTAAAACTCTGGAAGGCGGCAGAATTCACTACGAGTTCCCCGCCGACGCTGGCGTGCGCGTCTTGCCTCCCTTCGCGAACCTCGTTGAACATGTGCTGGGCCAGGTCCGCCACCACGTCGTCGCAGGTGTCGAACATCTCCTCGATGACGGGATACAGACGACTCTTGCCTTTCTGCGGCACTGCCACCTGGATGACGACCGCGGTGAGAGGACACGCTTTCTGCGACCACAGCTTGACGCGGGCGCCGTTCGTCAAGACCGGGACGGCGCCCAGCAACATCATCGTCGTGGAATAAAAGCCCTGGCACGTGGTGGTCGCTATTGGGTGGACGAATTTATACACGGCTTCTGGCAAGTGCTCGGCAGCGTTGAAGTTCTCGTCGACCTTCTGCTGCGCGGCGTCCATGAGCGCGCGGATCTCGGCCGCGGTGAGCTCGGGGGGCGGGGTCTTCGGCATGGCTGCCGACAAAAGGCAGCCGAACTTGCGCGAGACCGCGCGCGGCGAGACGACGGCGCAGCCAGGGCTTCTGAAACGGGCTTCGGAAAGGGTAGGTGGGACAGACAGAATGCAAAGAAGAAGCGGATGCATTGGAGAGGTTGGCCGTGGCAAGATAATGGCAGGGAGACGATGCCACCACCGTCAACGAAGACTTCACACGGCTGGCGGCCTCAATGGGGCGATAGGTACTCCTGAAAACTTCTGATTTCGACCATCGCCGACACCGCGCCAAAGCTATTGAGCGAGCACGGCCCGATAGATCGCAACCGCTCCGGCCCGGTACATGTGTGAATGTTCACAGGACGGCACGACACATGGAACCGCTAGGGCTACCAGTGTAAATGTGAGACACACGACGCCAGACATCGTACTCGAAGCTAACAGTTCGAGTGTGAACAAAAGCGGTAGCATAGATGACCCCCCCCCCCGACCACTGCGAATGCGAACCAGGCGGCCCAATAGATCCCAGCCGTTCGGGGCATCAGTGTAAATGTGAACCAATCGGGCTTGACCGCTTCAATTTTGCAACGCTGCGAGTGGATGCCTTGCCCTGTGTGGTTTGAACAGATGAAGTGCCGGTGGCAAAGGGCAGGAAGCGGTGAGGGACGGGGGGAAGCAGGTCGGGGGGCAGGGAGGGTGGGAGAAGGGGGGGGAACTCTCAACATTGGGGGTTCTTTCGTTTGCGAACGGTGATGAGGTATCGGTGGAGGGGGGGGGGCGAAGTGGGGGAGGGAAAGAGGGGAGAAAACAAGAGAGAGGTGTGGAGAGGGGGGTGCGCTCCATCAAGGAGATTTGCCAAGAGACCGTAAGCACACGGAGACCATGACTTCCATATTCGCCACCGTGCCGCGAGGCGCGGATTTCAATGTTCCCAAATTCCGGTGCGCACTCTCTCCTGAGTCGTGAAAGAATGAATAGCACGGAGCCCGGACCCGCAGCTCTCAAATCTCCCGGGGCTTCTCGCGTGTCTCCTGGGGCTCCCAGAGTGTTGTCGCATGTTCCCTACCTAGGCTCTGCCTAGAAGGGCTCTTACCCTCTTAGCTTAAAGGGGCCGGGCAGTGGAAATCGCCCCGGGCGGTTCCCCCAGGATCCGCCCCGCGGTTCCCCCAGTGACAATCCCTTAGCTTAGCGTTGTTTTTTCTCATCTTACCTTAGCCTATTTCATCTTAGCTTAGCTTGGTTTCATCTTAGTTCAGGTGTATCTTAGCTTTAGCATAGAAGAGCACATCATAGCATAGCATAGCATAGCATAGCGCAGCATAGCATAGCATAGCATAGCATAGCATAGCGCAGCACAGCACAGCACAGCGCAGCATAGCATCGCATAGCATAGCATAGCGCAGCACAGCACAGCACAGCGCAGCATAACATAGCATAGCATAGCGCAACATGACATAGCATAGCATAGCATAGCAATAGCATAGCGCAGCATAGCATAGCATAGCATAGCATATCATAGCATAGCACAGCGCAGCAAATCATAGCACAGCTTAGCATAGCATAGCATAGCGCAGCATAGCATAGCATAGCATAGCATAGCATAGCATAGCATAGCATAGCATAGCATAGCGCAGCATAGCATGGCACAGCAAAGCATAGCACAGCAACTAATGCTGCTTTCCTAGGGGCTCCAACTTCTAGGTCGGGTCGCACTGGGGTATTTTTTGCGAGGCCAAGAAGGCCTGAAGACGGGCCAATAAGGCCCGAAGAGGCCGCGACGGCCCAAGAGGGGTCCGAGTCGCCAAACGATCGGTCAAAGACACCCAAGATGGCCTCAGGACGGTCCAAGAGGCCTCCAAGACGCCCCAACAGGCCTCTTCAAGAGCACTCTCAGGAGGGCCCCAAAAGGCAAAAGTCAATAATTTCCCATGAGTTGTCGAAATTTTGTGGCGTTCTCGCCTGTTCGGCTTCCCGACGCTCCAAGACGGCCCAAGAGGTCCCCAAGATCGCCCCAAGAGGCCTCACGCTCCACAGGGCCGAAGGGCGCCAAGACGGCCTGAGGAGCCTCCAAGACTGCCCAAGAAGCACCCAAGACGGCTCCAACAAGGGGGCCCACACGGGGGATCCGAACGGACCATTCCAGACTTCGGCCCCGAGAGGCCGCCAAGCGGCCCCCCAAAAGACCAAGAAACCCCCAATATGCTCCCAAAAGAACACCCCCAAGGCGCCCCGAAGAGGCCCCCAAACTGCTACCCAGAAGCCCCCGAGAGCGCCCCGATGAGACCCCAAGAAGCATTCGGCCGATGCCGCCGGCCACCCGGAAGGCCACGCAAACAACTTCAACGTCAGAAAGGAAGTCCCTCAAGACGGGTCAAAACGGCCTCCAAGAAGGCCAAGATGGCCTCCAAGTTCGCCCAAGAAGGTCCGCGATGGCCTCCAAGATGGCCCAAGAGGGGTCTAAGATGCCTCCAAGTCCGCCCAAGAAGGCCCAAGAGGCCCCCAAGAGGCCTCCAAGACGGCCTCCAAGAGGTTTTCCAGGAGGGCCCGAAGAGGCCAAAAACATTGATGTTCCTGAAATTGCTGAAGGAGCTTGGCATTTGCTTCTGTTCGGCCTTCCGAAAACCCAAGACGGCCCAAGAGGCCCCCCATATCTCCCCAAGATGGCACCGAACGCCTCCAAGATGAGCCCATGACGGCCCAAGAAGCCTCCAAGACAGGCCCAAGAGGGCCGTCCAAGTTCGCCCAAAGTGGTTCGAGATGGCCTCCAAGACGGCCAAAGAGGCCTCCAAGCGATCCCCCAGGAGGACCCGAAGAGGCCAACATCATTGATTTCCCATAAGCTTTTGAAGGATTTGGGCATTTGTTTCTTTTCGGCATTTCGACGGCCCAAAAGGCCCCCAAGATCGCCCCAAAATGGTTTTCAAGGCCTCCTAGATGATCCCATGACGGCCCCTGAAACCTTCAAGACGGCCCCCAGAGGGCCTCCAAGGTCGCCAAACAAGATCCAAGATTGTTCCCAAGACGGCCCAAGAGGGTCTAAGATTGCCTCCAAGCTGGCCCCAGAGAGTCCAAGATGCCTCCAAGCCCGCCCAAGAAGCCTCCAAGACGGCCTAAGAGGCCCCCAGTAGGCCTCCAAGACGGCCTGGGGAGAACAGGTCCTCCATAACGGCCCGAATATGCCCAAATCAACGCTTTTCTTTTAAATTTGGGCCTTCCGACGGCCCGAGACGGCCCAACCCCAAGGTCGCTCCCAGATCGCCAAAACACCTTCAATATGGCCCCGTGATGTCCCAAGAGGCCCCCACGACGGCTCTCAGAGGGCCCCAAGACGGGCCAAGAAGCCCCCAAGACGCCCACGATAGCGTTCCAGACGGCCCTGAAGCACCACAACAGGGCCCGAAGTCGGTTCAGAAAGGCCCCCCAGACGGCTTCCGACGGCGCCCTGCAGGCCAGGAGCGCCGTAATACGGCGAAGGAGGCGCCCAAGAAGCCCCAAAAGGCCACGAAAAGGCCCAAGGATACCCACCCCCAACAGACCTCCAAGAGGCCCCCAATAATCTCCCAGGGAGCTTCACTAGTGGCCCAAGAGGCTCCAAAGAGGCCTCCTCCTCCTCCTCCTTGTATTATTTGTCCTCTTCCGCCTCCTCCTCCTCCTCCTCCTCCTCCTCCTCCTCCTCTTCCTCCTCCTCCTCCTGATGTTCCCCGTCATCCTCTCCCAAAGGTCCCCCTTGTAGAGTTTCCAGAACAACCGAAGGAACACATAGTCCGATAGGTTGGGCGATTCGGGGGCCCAACGTGGGGCCACAAGGGGGCGCTTCCCAAAATGGCAGGGGGCGGCGTTGATTCACCGTTGGCGTCTTGGATATAGAACGGCCGGTATCCCCTTTTTCTCCCTGCGATTTTTATCCCAAACTCAATGCGCGCGTGAACCGCCGCCCCGTATATTCCGCCAGGGACGACGCGGGAGAAGCATTTCCCCGCCGTCGGCCCAGGCGTGAAAAAACTGTGGCCCACTTAAACGTCGCGCGCGGCAAGTGCCTGCAGCGTGAGCGAATCCAAGCAAAATCACAATTTAAAACTCGCGCGCCCGGCATTCCCGGGGCCGCGGTCGCGCTGCGCCAATGCAGTCGCGAGGGCTTCATACGCGCTGCGCGCGTAGGCCGCGCGTCTGCGCGCGCGCCATGCACGCCAAGGGAATGGTCAGGAAGCACGAAAAGGAGAGAGGAGGAGGAAGAGGAGGGTGCATAGGAGGGGGAATCACTACGTGAGAGCCAGGACAATCTCAATGCTCCAGACACTGTCCTACGCACGTGGCCGAAATGCGGCCGCGGGCATGCAACCTGAAGCGGGCGGCAATCTATGTTTGCAGGCCCACCGCGGACACGATCGCGCGACTCGCTGGCCGCCCAGGGACAACTGCCAGAATGAACAGGAGGGAGGGGGGAAGGACGAAGAGAGGGGGGCGGGAGAAAGCGGAGGCACGGCGAGTAGTCATGAGCCCTACGCCGATGGGTCTGAAGCAACGAACTAGTGCTCCGATGTCGGTCTCCACGTCATAAGAAGCCCCGCGCCGAGCCGGAAGGCGCGCTCCGAGACTAGCCAGCGGGGAAAGGGAGGGAACGGAAAAAGTAGGTGAGGGAGAGGGGGGCAGCTGTGGGCGACAAGCCCTCATAATCCGCGGCCCACGTCGGTCTGGCCGCCAGTGCAGGCGAGGCCGGAAGCGGCCGTCAGCGGCTGCTAGAAGCCGCCGCGCGCTCTGCGGCGCAGAGCTTCTCCTGCGCCTTCTTCTTTGCCCGAGCCACCTTCCTCCGCTCAACGCCGCGACGCGCCTCCGCAAGAACGAGGACGCGGCGGTTGCTCACGCCCACCATCTCCGCCACGGCAAGGATGCACATCCAGCGGCCCATGTGATGGATAGTATGAGCTAGGTGGGATAGGTCCGAGTTCTTCACCTCGCAGATGTTCGTGGGGAACTTCCGGAGGAGCGCCTGGTTTTCCGGCAGAGATGGCAAGCAGTGCTTCTTGCACCACGCCCCCGCGTGCGCGCTCGCGTGGTACTCGTCGACGATGCATGCGACGTCGGCCGCCAGCTCCTCGGCGATCGGAGAACTGGCCCGGTTCGCCTCCACCATCAAGCGCAAATGGCACGCGTCGTCGTGGACGATGACCTAGGCAACGGGGGCGGGGACAAGAACCATCGGACGCCCCCCCGCGGCCACGGGGCCAGGCTTGGAGGGTGTTGCGGCGCGGGGGGGGCCGGTGCAAGAAGAGGGTTTGGCCCGAATCCCGCCTTCAAATCTGGGTGCCGGCTCTTTAGTATTGCCAAGAAGCGGTATCGCTGGGACAAGGATTCCACCCCCACTAACTCGTCGATGTCGACGATGACCCCCGAAGCGCTAACCGCCGTGAGGAAGCCGCCAGTCCGGGCAGCGGCCACGATGTGGTTCGGGGTCTCCTTACGCGCCCCGCACTCCGACTTCTGGCGCGGCCCCAACGAACTCCACGAAGACATGAATGAACGCTCTCTCCTCCTCTTCAGTTTGGCGACAAACCGGGCGGCGCGGAACTCCTTGCGCCGCTTCCGCCGCTCCATCACCTGGTGGCGCGCAGGGACAGCGCCGATCGCCTCGCGCGCGGCCCCCGCGGAAGCCGGGCCGAGCCCTGGGGTGATCTGCAAAAGGCTTGGCCAGATCGCGGGGCGATCGCGCCCGGGGGGGCCCCCGTGCCGCCCCGCCCGCCCGAGCGCAAGCATGGCAAACTAAGGCGGCAGCTTTATTGTGCGCTAGGTTGGCGAAATAATGCGACAAGCGGGCCTCGTCTACAGTGCACGCGGGCTGCCACATGTCACAATAGCCGACTTTGACCTCCAAGTGCTTTGCGTCCTTACCGTCGTGCAAAGCCTTTTTGGTTCGGTGGGCCACGATCTGCACGTGGCTTTCCTGGGAAGCGAACTGGGCGTTGTCCCGGTCCCGCGCGTGCTTGCAGCACAGCGGATCTTTCTTGCCGGGGGAATTCGGGCAACCCCGCAAAAGGTATTTGTTCAGCTCCCCGCACCAAACCGTACTCGCAAACGGCATGCCACAAGTGCGACGGCATAGCTTAGCATTCCCATCAATTGCCAATATGTCTGGCCGGTCACCTGAAGATCCGAACTGACTCTTGCGCTTCCCTGCCATTAGGGGGCCGTACCACGTCCAAGATTCGGAAATGAGCCTCCCCAGCGGTTCCTGGAGGATCGATGATACAATCCCTCCTCGACGGCACGGGGTACATTGCCCTGCTCGCTCCCAAAGCACCCACCGAGCCCACGCCTGAGACAGCAACTTCCGGGCTTCCACCGGGACGGACCCTTCGTGGAGAAGCTCCAGCAACGCAGCTTCTCCGTGAAATGATGATCGTTGGAGGAATAACCTCGCACTCCACTGTCTAAGCCAAGTCACGGTCACGCCGAACTTCTTGTTTACTAGCCATATGTCCGGGTGAACGTGCTCGTCGTCGAGGACCTTCTTGTACTTCCCCCGGGAGCCTGACGTGGGTACCATCTTGAAGCCGCACCAATATGTAATTCCCCGTGACTTGTTGGCGCGAGCACATATGTCGCACCACCGTGGCACGTGGTAGGCGCGGAAGGGGGAGCTTTCAGCGACCACATAACACAGCGCGCCCGGACTGCCACGCCCACAAATGTCCTGCTGCGTCAGATGGGCACCGCATGCGGGGCAGAGCCTTCGTAAACTTGCAATGACATGCGGGAACGCCTCCATTCCGCGGTCGCGGAGACGATCCCGCAAGGCAGAAGTGGAGTCGGGAGGCAGCAGAAGGTCGCACCCGCTCTCATACAGAGCCTCCTGGAGAGCGGCCGAAGCCGATGTGCTGATACATGCCATGGAACCGATAGCAGGCTGGCCGTACGAATCAGGCAAGGTCAGATGGCGCTTGAGCCACAGGCTGCTGAGATGGATCGGTCACCCGTGGGCAAGAATCCTGCCAGCCACGCCCGCGTTCTTTATAGCCGCTGCCTCGCAGAAATACTACCCTAGCAAAGCACCCGAATAAGGATGTCGGCAAGTGAAAACGCGCAGGCCTAGGTTTTACTATCACGGCCCAGCCTCACGCTCGTTACGCGTGAAGGTTAGAATGGTGAGGAACCCATGGCGTTAACGCGCCTTCGTGACCGGTGAGAAGTGGAATGGGCCCCTCGGGGTCCACCTTGTATGCCTGGCGCACGCCACATGAATAATCATCTAAGTCTTGAATAATCATCTAATCATCTAATTCGGAATGGCGCAGGCCATTCGCCGTTTCGCCTTTTCGCTTCTGAGGGCCATCCGAAGCCAAGATGGCTCCCAGATGACCGAGGAGGGCCCCAAGAGTGGCCCAAGAGAGCCCCAAGACGGCCCCAAGAGCGCCCAGGAGCGCCCCAAGAGCGCTCCAAGAAGATTCAAGGAGACGGTTTTTTGTGCCCCGGGGGAGGGGCGCGATTTGCGCCCCCAAGGCTCCCAAAAGCGCCCCGAGAGGGCCCCAAGAGGCGCCCAGGAGACCCCAAGAGGCGCTCCAAAGGCCTCTAAGAGGCTCCCAAAAGACCCCCAAGAGGCCCCAAAGACCCCCAAGAGGCCCCACGAGGCTCCCCAAGGTACCAAAGACGCGCAAAGACGCCCCTGGGCCCGCCAAGAGGCCCCCCAGACGCCTCAAGAGGCCTTCGAAAAGCTTCCAAGAGACATCCGAAGAGACTCCGAGAGGCAGTCACGAGGCTTCTGGCTTTGCTGGTCGCCCCTTTCCTCCTCCTCCTCCTCCTCCTCCTCCTCCTCCTCCTCCTGCTCCTCCTTCTCCTCCTCCTCCTCCTCCTTCTCCTCCTCATCTCATCTCATCCTCATCCTCATCCTCAATGCCGCACTCATCATCATAACATCGTCATCCGTCATCATCATCATCATTAAGCAAAACCATCCTCATTTGGATTATTAGTAGAATCATCATCATCATCCATAATCCATCATCATCATCATCATCATCATCAATCTCATCATCATCCATCATCATCCATCATCATCATCATCCGCTTATTTCCTCCGTCCTCCGCCTCCCTCCTCACTCTCCTCACCTCCTCCTCCTCCTCGTCCTCCTCCTCGTCCACCTCCTGCTCCTCCTTCTCCTCTCCTCCTCCTCCTTTTCTCTCCTCCTCCTCCTCATCACCATCATCATCCGCTTATTCCTCGTCCTCCCGCCTCCTTCCTCCCTCTCCTCCACCTTCTCCTCCTCCTCCTCCTCCTCCTCGTCCTGCTCCACGTTCTCTTCCTCCTTCGTCCTCCTCACCCTCATCCTCAGCGTCCTCCTCCTCCACTCCTCCTCCTCCTTCCTCCCCCTCTTGGGGTACGACGGTTTCTCCGGCCCTTTGCTCCTCTGCAAGATCTCTCACTTCCCTGATCACGTCAACTCGCCTGGGCGTCGTCTCTGGATGGGCTGGTGGGGATACGCAAATCCTCAAGAATTGCGAATCAAACTCGACGCGTTCGAAGCTTACCTCCATGTATCATGTGGTACGCACCCGTCAGATCCAATGCAGATTGAATGCACGACCTCGCACTCTCTAGAAAAGGGATGGCGGCGTGCCAACCTTTCAGCCTTCCTTCACGCTCCCGTTTCGTCTTCCTTCTTCAGCCTCCCCTTTTTCTTGCTTCCCTCGTCCGCCCTCCATCCCCCCCTCGGTCGTGCTCGTCGTCATGGTCATGCTTCTGCTCCTCGTGCTCCTCCGCCTCCCCCTTCTCGACATCCTCCTCCTCCAGCTTCGCCTCCTCATCGTCATCAGGCACATCGCGCCCCTCATCGCATCGTGACTATGTGCGCGCGTCCTCGCACACCTCCTGATCAACTCCTCGTCCTCGTCGTCGTCGTCATCACCACCACCACCACCACTATCATCATCATCATCATCATCATCATCATCATCATCATCATCATCACCATCATCACCATCATCATCATCATCGTCAGCATAATCATTCGCATTATCATCATCATCATCATAATCGCCATCATCATCATTATCATCATCGCCGTCATCATCATCGGCATCATCACCAGTATCGCCGTCATCATCATCATCATCATCGTCAGCATAATCATTCGCATTCTCATCATCATCATCATCATAATCGCCATCATCATCATCATCGTCATCGCCGTCATCATCACCGGCATCATCACCAGTATCGCCGTCATCATCATCGTCATCATCGTCGGGACCACCATCTGATATTCACCATCATCACCAACGTCATCATCATCAGCATCATCATCATCATCATCATCGTCATCACCATCATCATCATCATACTCTCCGTCGTCGTCGTCGTCACCACCATCGTCATCGTCGTCGTCTTCAACAGCAGCAGCAGCAGCAGCATCGTCATCATAATCCGCCAACCCCGTCTGCGTGTGTGAGGGGGAGTTCTGTGTCCGTCGTCCACGGGCGGCTGTAAAAGATGCTCCTTCATTCGATTTGCTCTTCCATTCCCGGAGCCTCTCTCGAGACCCTCTTTGGCGCGAAAGCTCGTCAATTCGAAGTGAATCGACCGAAGTCGTAATCGAAGTCGTCTTTGAGTCGAAAGGAAGCCCCTTCCCTTTGATCCCTTCCCCACCCAGGGGGCGTCCTGGGGAGGTCCCGGAGGGAGTCCCTGGGGGAATCCCGGGTCAGAATACCGTTCCCCCCTTTCCCTTTTCGGGTCATCTTCGAACAAATGCGGCCCTCCTTCGGCAAGTCAGGTTCACGATAATCCAAAAGGGGCCCAAGAGGGCGCAGAGTCGCCAAAAGATCGCTCGAAGACGCCGAAGATGGCCTCCGGACGGCCCAAAACGCATCCAAGACGGCCCAAGAGTGCTCCAAGAGTACTACTCCCAAAAGGGCCCCAAACCGTGTATGCAGGGGGCAAGCATACCAGGGTTCCTCCTAGAAACACGCCAGCCCTTCGCAAAAGTCCACGCGGGGGGCGAGCATGGTCAGGGCCAACCCCATGTGGGAGAAAGGTTGCACCAGGGTGTCACGAACCAGGGTGCATCCAGCAAAACATGAGGGAACGACTGTTCCTCCTAGAAACAAGCCGCTCTTGTGCAAAACAGCATGAAGAAACGTAGACAAAAACGGACAGGGCTAAAGGCAGGGTAGCTGGAATGGGCGACATGGAAGGAGGAGGAGAGGGGAAAGGTAGGGGAAGCCCAAATTGAGCTTGGACACGAATCAGCTCTGGGCAAATTGTGAATGCAGGGGGTCCCCATACCAGGGTTCCTCCTGGAAACACGCCAGCCCTTCGCAAAAATCCAAGTAAGGGGCCGAGCATGGCCAGGGCCAGCCCCACGTTGGAGAAAGCGCAAGCCTCTGGAAAAAGCCACGCTGTCACGAACCAGGGTGCATCCAGCAAAACATGTGGGGAACGACGGTTCCTCCTAGAAACAAGCCGCTCTTGTGCAAAACAGCATGAAGAAACGTAAACAAAAACGGACAGGGCTAAAGGCAGGGTAGCCGGGATGGGCGAACATGGAAGGAGGAGGAGAGGGGAAAGGTAGGGGAAGCCCAAATTGAGCTTGGACACGAATCAGCTCTGGGCAAAGTGTGAATGCAGGGGGTCCCCATACCAGGGTTCCTCCTGGCAGAACGCCAGCCCCATGTGGCAGAAAACGCTGGGAGAAGCCGCGCTGTCGCGAACCAGGGGACATCCAACAAAAAATATGGGGAACGACGGTTCCTCCTAGAAACAAGCCAGCCCTGTGCAAAAGAGCATGAAGAAACGTACACAAAAAACGGACAAGCAAAAGGCTGGGTAGCCGGGATGGGCGAACATGGAAGGAG